GCGTGAACGCTCACATACCAGCTGCCGTGTGGACGCGTGTTTTCGTTTCTCTTGGGCATGTGCCTGTGAGTGGAGCTGCTGGGCCCTGGCCACCCTGTGCTCAGCGTTTGCAGGAACTGCGCACCTCTCACGGTGGTGACCCCGTGTCACACCCCGACCCGCAGCATCTGAGCGTCCGGTTGGTTCACGTCCTCGCCAACGCTGTTGTTATCTGACTTTTTTTTTTTTTGAGACAGAGTGTCACTCTGTCACCCTGGCTAGAGTGCTGTGGTGTCATCATAGCTCACAGCAACCTCCAACTCCTTGGCTCAAGCGATCCTCCTGCCTCAGCCTCCCGAGTAGCTGCGACTACAGGCATGCACCACCACACCTGTCTGATTTTTCTATTTGTAGTAGAGACGGGGTCTCGCTCTTGCCCAGGCTGGCCTCTAACTCCTGAGCTCAAGGGACCCTCCCGTCCCGGCCTCCCAGAGTGCTGGGATTGCAGGGTGAGCCACCGCGCCCGGCCTGTTATCTGACTTTTTCGTTCCAGCCATCGGTGGGTGTGAGGTGGGGTCTCCTTGTGGCTTTGCTGGGCTCTTCCCTGGTGACGAGTGACCATCTTGTCAGGCTCATCGGCCATTTTCGTGAGTTCCTGGGCAAATGTCTCGTCAGATCTTTTACCCATTTCAAACTGGGTCACACGCTGTGTTTTCATCCTCACGTTTGTGACCCGCAGATATGCCGTTCCCGTTCTGTCTTCTCACTTTCTGGACAGTGACCTTTGAGGCTCAAAGTTTTTAATTTTGATGAAGTCCAACGTATCTGTTTTGTTGCTTGTACTTTTGGTGTCAGATCTAAACCTGTCACCAAACCTGAGGTCGCACAGATTTTCTCCTAAGAGTTCGATAGTTTTAGCTGTCACGTTTAGGTCATTGGTGCATTTTGAGTGTCTCCTCTTCTCTGAGGACAGAAGTACTGCAGCCCCAAGAGCCTCCGACTCAGGCCCTGGGCCCTGGCGCAGAGCCTGGAGCCAGGTGTGGCCCCTCGCGGGGCCGGGTGACCCCCGCTGATCTGGGTCCAGCTCCCTGAGACCGGGGCGTGACTTTGCACGGCTGAGGGGGTGGCGACCTGGGCTGGCAGGACGGACCGGGTGGGACCGGGTGGGATGGGGCTGGGTTGGGCCCCGTGCGGCTCCGTAGCGGGCAGCTGGGTTGGCAGGAAGCTCGTGGCCTCCTCCCCCCAGTGCCCCACATTCCCTCTTGGAGAGTCTTGACCCGACCCGCGTGTTTCTAACGTGTGTCCCCTGCCCCCAGGTGCGGACCTGACTGTCGCAGAAGCCAGCAGCTCGGACGGCCGCGGGGAGCGGGCAGAGCTCTACGCGCACGTGGAGGACGGCCTCCTGGGCGGGGAAGCCAGCTACCTGGGCCCGCCCCTCACCCCCGAGAAGGACGACGCCCTGCACCAGGCGACCGCGGTGGCCAACCTGCGCGCGGCGCTCATGAGCAAGAACAGCCTGCTGTCCCTCAAGGCCGACGTGCTGGGGGACGAGGGCTCCCTGCTGTTCGAGTACCTGCCCAAAGGTGCCCACTCGCTGTCCCGTAAGTGCCGCCCCGCCGTGGCGCTTTGCTTTGCCTTGTTTCGGTCGCCGGGAGCTGCGCGTCTCAGGCAGCGACGAGAGCGAGGTCGGGCGGGGCCCATCCCCGTAGGCGGGTCGGCTGTGGGCAGCAGCACCTCTGACCTCCGGGTTGCGGGCGTGGTGAGGCCACGTCACAGCCTGGACGGGCCTCTCGGGTCACGTGGGGCCTGCCGGGCTCTGGCTGTACAGAGCGAGGGCGGCGTGGTTGTCAGGGCGACGGGAGGGGACAGCGAGTGCTTGCTGGAGCGTTTCATACTCGGATTTGAGGCGTCTCAACCTAAAACCCATCTGGCTCGACTGTGCGCACGGGCAGGACACAAACCTGGACCTCGAGCCCCGCCGGGTCTGGAGGGCGGGAGACGGGGTCTCTGTGCGAGGGGTGGGCACGGGCTCCCCCTGCTGGCCGCTGCATCCTGCCTTCAGGCCGCGATTCCCTCTGCGTAGGGGCACGGGCAGGAAAGCCGCCAAGCAGGAGTCGGGGTGGTGTCCTTGCTTGGTTTCCATAGAGAATGCTGGTCACGGAGGAGTTTTTAGAAAGGACCGGATCTTATGTATAAAACGTAAATGTCTCCAGCTGAATTCCAAATGACAGACCCGCCCAGCACAGTCACCCGAGACTTCCATTGCCGGCGACACGGGGGGTATTCGGCTCTTACAGTTAAAAGTCCACCAGGGCTGCTTTGGGAGCTGTGTGGCCGCCCCCAGGGCCCCAGCTGTGGCTCTGGCACCCGGTGCGTGGCTGGTGCGCAGCGCGGGTGCGGGAGGGGGAGGCCCGGGGCTCCCCACAGCGGGAGGTGCCCCATTCCGGTGGCCCCAGGCCTGAGCGTGTGCGAACGGTGTGGACGCAGCGTTTCCTGCGGACTGCGGTCACCCGTGATGTTGGGATGGGGACGCATATCTTTGTTCTAACTTTTATGCTGTGTTTTGACGACTTTGTTTTCATGAACCCGAAAATGTTCTCTTGCGTTTCTGTGCCGCGTGAGGAGAGACGCAAACTGTCTATGGCCAATAAAGAGCACGGTGGAAATAACGCTCATGTTCTCTTCATTCCCACGTGCAGAGGTGGGAGCCGTTGCCAGGTGACAGGACGTGGCCGCGAAGGCAGAGCCGGGTGCACACTTCGCTGGCAGGGACAAGGTGTTGGGCACTGGGCACGCTTTTAAAGCATCTGGAAAACGGGGACGGCGCCGCTGGTACAGCTGCGACTTTAAAACCGAATGGCGTCCGAAGCACGGGGCGCAGGAGAGGAAGCCAGCGTGAGGGACGCTCCGGTGTCCGTCTCTCCCTCTGCAGATGCAAAACACGCTTGTCGGCAGAAATGCTCGGATTTGTTGAGAGCCCAGGGTTTGGGGCAGCGGGACTCACAGAAGAGGGGTCTGCAGGAGGGTCTTGGCGAGGGCGGGTCGAGACGGGTCGCAGGTGCCGTGGCCGGGCCGTGAGGGTCGGGAGACGCCGCGTCCTCATCGCTTTCTCGTGCTGCAGGGGTTTGGGCATCTGTTCTGTTTCTGAGGCTTTGACGCCGCCGTGTGATAAACCCCTCCAGGGCGGGGCTGTCACAACAGCCAGCTCTGTGGTGGCTCGGATCTGAGGGAGGTGTCTCTGTCCCTAAGAGTGGTTCTGGGATGAGGGGGAACGATTTGTTTGGGCTTTTTCTGCCGTTTCTGCTGTGAGTTTGTGCTGGGAACCACGCGGAAGATGGGGAGGGCGTGGGTAGCCCGAAGCCGCGGGTTTCACCCACGCGTGGCCGAGCCGTGAGTCTGACCTGGGGGTTGGAGGTGAAAACTCAGCGCCTGCCTCCGCTGCCCCCACGGCTTCTCCCCTGTCCTCCTCTGGGGTCCTCTGTTCTGGTCCCGCCCAGCAGGGGGCTGGCCACAGACCACGTGCATGGCCCCTCCTGGCTGTGGGAGGGGCCACCCGCGAAGGGTGGTGGCGGCTGACCCTGGGGGGCCTCACTGGGGACTTTCAGACCTTTGCCTCTGCTGCCGGAGTCACCGCGCGCGCATCGAACGGATCTCGGTGCTGGGGTTACGCACGGCCTCCTGCGTGTCTGGAAGCGCCGCCGCGTGGTGGAGAGCTGGGAAGAAAAGTCCCGTCTTGCTCTGTCTTTAGTGCGTGTGTGACGGTTGCCGGCCAAGTCACCAGTGGTCTTTTGTTCTTCCCACTGCGTTTTTACCTCGTCTTTGCTGCTCTGAATTTTCCACTTTTAAGAATTTGCCCTTTTGTTTTCCATGAGGGCCTTTAGCAGTTGGCAGAGCCCTCCCCTGTCTGGCTGTGAGCTGGGGGCGCGGGCTGTGCGGTGGTCGGAGGGAGACACCAGCCCGGCAGGCAGAATGATGGAAGGACACAAAAAACCCTTTACTTTCCAAAATGTTGTGGTCCACGCTGACCGTGGCGGCGGGCGGCAGGCGGCGAGGAATCCACGTTAACTCACATCGGGGGCCCTCGGCCAGGACGCAGAGGGCTGAAGACAGGACCGAGCCGACCCCTGGGCCCTGCCTGTGGGTGTCCGCGGAGGGCGTCGGCAGTACCGGCGCGGCCTGGCCTGTCTCTCGGTGTGGACCGGTCAGAGAACTTGGCCCGACCGTGCTGCTGCCCGTTGACCCAACACGCTGAGTCCCGGCATCCTCTCTAGACACGGAAACGCGCCGGCCCCCGACCCTGCTTCCCGATGTCGCACCTTCCTGCCCCTCTGCAGGCGGGTGGGGGGCGGGCTGGAGACTTTCCGGCTGCAGGAGTGTGGGGCGCGTGGCTGGGGTGGGGGGTGCAGCTCTGGTCTTCGGACCCGCCCGTGTGTGGCTGAGCGGGGAGCCCCTCCTGCGCCCCCCCTGCGCCCCCCCTGCGGCGTGGCCCCGCCTTAGCTCGCAGCTCTGGAAATGCACCGCCAAGGCCAGGCGCCCGGCGGGGGGCTGTCTCCCTTCCTCTCCTCCTCCAGAACGGTCAGTCGCACCGCGCACCCAGAACAGCCTCATGCCAGGCCAGACCTCGCTCCCCAGCCTCCCTCCCGCCCTTCTTTCCGGAGCGGAGGAGACGCAGCTCTGACGAGCCGTTGGAGCAGCACCAGCCCCGGCCCCAGCGCTGGGGTTCTCGGGGCCAGGCTGGCCAGTGTCTGGGCTGTGCCGCGTGTCCTGACTCGCGGCCTCCGCGTGCCGGTCACTGGCGATGGGCCTTCTCCAGAGCCGAGTATTTCGTTAGGGTGACCCCGGGGGTGCCCGTCATGCACGTGATCCAGGGACGTGGCACATCGTTGGTGAAACGAGGGAGACGCCAGCGCGCTGCGGCTTGGGGTTTGGCGGCAGCGTTGCGCCGTGGGGGCTGCGTTGGGTCCCAGCTCCGCCCCGACGCTCCCTGGGCGCCAGCACGCTTGGCTGGTGACGGAGGCCCGGTCACGGCAGCTCTGCAGGAGAGCAGGAGAGCAGCCACGGGGCTCTGATTAAGAGAACCAGTAAACGTGCAGGCGATGCACCAACAAGACAGAGCAGCCTTTGGGATGGTTCCGGAACATTCTAGAAAACTGAAATAGTTTCCTTGTTTTTATAGGACTGATACTATTGTCTTGGCCACTGCGTTCCGCAGATGGTGGTCTCATCGCTGGTTCATCCGTCCTCTAAACGACTTCTCTGTGAGAGGGCGTTCCGTCCTTCTCGTCTTGATTCAGTTTAACGTGATTCTCTTTTACTTGTATCACTTCTCAGCAGCAGGCGGATGTCCCACCCGTCTGTCGTCACTGTTCACTGAGTGGACGCCGTGACGTGTTGCTCTGGCTCGGGACACGGCTGTCTTGTGTGGGGCACTTCAGTCCCTCGGGGACCCTGACGCCCCTGGGCCCGTGGAAAGGCCGTTTGCGCACACAGGCTGCCGCCCGACTTCACGGGCACAGCCAGAGAGAAGCCAGCGGACCCCAGCACGGGGCACGGGTCCCCGTACGGCCGTGGTGCCGTTTGCACCTGCGACCACCAGAAACATGAGAAGTCTCACCCGAGCATCACGGCGTTTCGCACCTTGTTGCTATTTTTGAAAGAGAATCGACGATTCCTCTAACGGTTCTGGGTGGAGCTGAGCTGGGGAGAAGACGCCGGCTCCCTGGTCCTTCCGGGGAAGGACCGCGCTCTGCTGTGGCGTCTGCTGCTGCGGTTGGCTGTGTTCGTCCCTCTGTGAGGCCACCCAGATGTCCAGCAGGCGTCTGTGCAGGACAATTGCAGCTTGTTTTTGTTTTGGTTGCGGTTTAAAGCATGTTTCTCTATGGTATTTAAAAAATGAATCAAGGACTTTGCTTAATTCTGGATCGATGCTGGAATTTGAAAGTTTCTGACCAGAGGGCATGTGGTGGAAACATTGTTGCACTTTTAGATAAACACCAGGCGGGCGTGTCTCCAAGTGCTTGTGGGAGGTCGTCTCCAAGTTCAGAGGTGTGTGTGCTCCGACTTTCTGTACCGAAACCCTCCGTGAAACCGTTTTGCTCCTGGGAGAGACCCCACCCCAGACACGTCTCGTGCAGAGACCCTGGTGTTCGGGGCTGGCCGGCTGGGACACGCACCGGAGGCCACTCCAGCAGACCCGGCGGCGTCACTGGCCACGCACCGCTCCTCGCAGGAAGACGGACCGTGATCTGGAACCCGAAACCCGCCGGCTGGTGTCCGTCCTGTGGGTGAGATTCCTTTCCTGTGTTCCCAGGGCCTGAGTCGCTCGTGGGGGACGCTGATCGCAGAGCGGAAGCCCCTCCACCCTCCTTCCCACTCAGAGCCGCAGGGTGGTCTCTGGGGAGTCGCCGGACCGAGCCCAGGGCACCGGCGCTGCCTCCCCAAGCCCAGGTAAGATGTGAGGGCGGCCAGCCACATCTGGGCAGCCGGGCCACGCGCTCGAGGAAGCGCTGCCGGCCCCGTGAGCATAGCGCCCGTGACACCGTGTGCTCTTGGCCACATCCCAGACGCGCCTAGAAGGAGCCTCCTCGTGGGTCTCCACAGC